CGGCTTTTGGATCTTGTTTTTCCCCAGATGGATTTAATGGCATAAAATGCTTTTGAACCCAAAAGCTTGCTTAAAATTTTGCTTTCCAACTATTGAAGTTGGTCTAATAAAAGAGATTGGATTCACCCAAAGAACCTGGTCTCCTCAAAGTTTAAGGGTGACCAACCTCCTAATCTGATTTTGCTGCTTTTTTTTTTTATGGGGAGCCGTTTCAGGCATGTTCCTGGTTAGAAAAGCTCGTCTTGAAATCTGGCATGGTTTGCTGCTTCTCTCCTGCAGGATTCAGAGGTACCAATAAGTCAACAGGAGCAAAAATGAATCGGTCTAAAAATATACAGACCGCCGCAAATCAAGCTGGAGCGAGAAACAACGCGGGATCTATTTCAAGAGCAAGCCATGCCCAAATAGACCTTTGAGAGTAATCAGACAGTGCCAGGATAGTATTGCTTGGGCCTTTGAAGTCAACAGTGCTTTTGTGTCCTTGCTTTTAATTTGGTCGAGCAAAACGAGAGCTGTACAAGCAAAGCCAGAATTTCCAACTTGTGGGAAATTCCCCGACTTGAAGATCGGTGCCGTCTTCTGAATCAGAGCGAAAACCCGGCCTTTCCAAGCCCCCTATGAAATGAAAATGAAAGGAAACGGTTGTGTTCAATCAAAATGTTTTGTTTCAGTAGTGATTTTTAACCTTCGTATTATAATTGGTAAGAGAACAGGAAGCTTCAAGAAAAAAAAAAGCGGTTAAAATGGCAAAGTTAAAAAAAATCCCAAACGTTTTGTTCTGATAAGCACTTAATGGAAAGGCTCTTTTAAGGAATTTGCCACTGTGTCATTGGCACGTTCCCATGGAAAGTGGTGTTTTTTTGGCAAAATGGCATTTTCCAGCAGGAAAAATGTTCCACTGGAAAGTTTTCAAGCAGCTCTAGTTACGATGGTGCCCCGGCTACAGATTGGGATGTGCCATCCCGTGCGGGGGCAGGTCCGTGCGTTCGAGACACGTGCCGTGGAGCGTTTGCTAGCCAAGATGCGCCAGAGACGAGATGCGTTTGGTCCATGTGAAAACAACCTTTGGAAAATAGCAACCAAAGGTCAATAATTTCCCCTCCGCTGAGCTAGATTGCTTTATTCCATCTGTGTGTAAATTGGCGGCGGTGGTGTTTGAGCCTTCCTAGGAAAGACAAATGAGAAAAAAAAAAGTCCATTGTAATTTTATTCAATGAAAGTACATAATTGTTCCTTCGAAATGACGGGGGTGGTATAAGATGAGTGGCTGGGGTTTTACCTGGGTGCAGCCGCACACCTGTTGAACCATAATGAGGCCACGGTGTTTGAGCCTTCCTAGGAAAGACAAATGAGAGAAAAAAAAGTCCGTTGTAATTCTATTCAATGAAAGTACATAATTGTTCCTTCGAAATGACGGGGGTGGTATAAGATGAGTGGCTGGTTTTACCTGGGTGCAGCCGCGCACCTGTTGAACCATAATGAGGCCACGGATGGCTCCTCCATACCTTGACCGTAGCTGTTCATCCTACGGAGATCACCAGGCAGGAGGAGATGTTGCATTGCCCAAAACGCAGGGACTTTTCAGAGATTTCTCACCCAGCCCTGTGCTGGTTTTCTTTGCAACTGAAAAATTGCCTGAGCTCAGGCCCCAGCTCTCTCCCTTGCCCAGAATACCATTCAGCCCAATTCGCCTCCATTTGCCCGCCTTACCCAGGCACCTTCCCACTTCATTTGCCCTTCTGTTTTGGGCAAGTTTCCCAGGCCGGTGACTGGGAAAGCTCGCCTTCCTGCCAGCTGCTCGAGCGGCCCTTCCACTTTCCCACGGGGGCAGTTTGTGGGCAAAGCTCATGGATTCATGCTCCTCTTACCCTCCCCAGAGGCTGTAGGAAGGTGTCCGCATTGCCATAGGTTTCCAGACCTGCCTCAGCCTTGCACGGTGCAGGAGGGCTCTGCAGAGAGGGCCAGGACATCTGCTGCTACCAGCCCAACCTTAGCACTTAGGCATGGAAACCTGCTTCACAAGGTCAACCTAGGGATTTCAGAGAGGAGTCCAGAGCGTTAAATACCTGCTGTCCCGTTGTGGTCTTTCTGAGCTCTCTGCAGCAGAGAAATGGTGGTGTTGTCTTTCTGTAGTCAAAAGAGGAGTGAAAGCAAAGAATTGGCGTTTTCTGAGGGGTGCCTCGAGTCTCCTGGGGGTGCCTCGAGCCTGAAAAGGTTTCCCCATCAGTCCGTGTGAAAGTAGGAAACCATCAGGCCGCAGTGACCATTGCCCACTCTGGTGGCCAGGAGCGTCCTCTCGGGCTCTGTCTCTAGCCGTGCCCATCTCTCGTCTCTGAGACTTAGACTTTGGGGGCAGAGACCATCACTTGTTTGTACAGCACCTAGCACAAAGGAGTCCTGGTTGCTGGCTGGGGTCCCAGGCACTATGGAAATGCAAATATTGCACGTGTATCTGTTCCTTGGTCCGCCTGCTAAAACTTCCAGCGTCACTGCAGGTTTTATCAGGTGCGGGATGTCGCGGGGAACCGGACCGAGACCATCTAGTTACAGCGACGCGGGTTGCCTGAAAGCCGTCATATGGTAACAATTTTTGGCCTGGGCTAGATTTGAACCAGCTACTTAAAGCAAAAGGTGATCTCTCCCATTGCAGGGCGTTTCCCAAGGGATCGACTCCTGAAAGCCGGCAGCCCCGATAGAAGTTTGACTTTTGCAGGGCAAGGACGGCCCGAATCTGCATATCTGTTTCAGGTCCTCGACTTGGCTCGTTTCACATGTTGATGAGTCTCTGGAGGAAGAGAGCATATTTGCATTATAAAAAAAAAAAAGAAAGAAAAAGCCAGCTGAGGGATGAGAGGAACCCACCGCGTCTGTGGGAATCTCGGATGAGTTCGAGAGAGCTTGACACCGGGGTTTGGCTTGGCTCTGACCCTTTGTGTGTGCGTGTGTGTTCCCTTTCAATCATGTATGACCTGCCTTTGATGACCCCCAGACGGGCTCGCTTGCCGTGCAAAGATCTTTATGCTTTGTTTTGCTGTGTGTTTGGGTACGTCGATTAGGAACGACTGCCGGGGCATTTGCGCTGGCGGTCGCGTTTCTTGGATTGATGTGGCTTTTTCGCTGGAGTGTTTATTCAGCCCGTTGGATTCTGCTTGCAGGCGGGTGTGTGCAGGGAGGGGGTGTGAGTAGCACAAAAGTGCCTTGATCTGGTAGAGCAGCGGTCCAAACTGGCCTGAAATCAGGGGGCCGGGGCCATGGAAAGGAGTAGGAGCCAGCAGCCTCAGCTGGTGTAAATCAGCTCAGCTTTGCTGGCTCAAAATGGGATGTCACCGTGTCGCTGCTCCCTCGCCATGATTTAATCTGCTCCCAGGGGTCTGCACATCGCAGGCGGCTTGACCCCAGGAGGGGAAGAACAGCAGCCAGGAAGCTAAGCAGACCAAACCGAACGTGCCCTCCCGTGACTGGGGGGCAGAAAGCCCCGTCAAGGGTGAGATCCCTTGCTGCCGTGAGACCGCGTTAGGGAGCAGAGTCGCTGCCAGCCCTGGATTTTGTGCTCCTCTTGCTTTTTCTTCTCTATTCCAGGCTGAATTTGTCCCTGTGCATTTCTGCCTTTTGGGGCTGGGGGGGGTTGCGGCTGTTCTTTCCCCAGGCCTGGAGGCATTGTCACCGTGGGTGCACATCCGTGGGGCCATTTCCACCATAGTCCGGGGAGGGGAGGGAGCTTTTCCCAGGGAACCCGATGTCCTGTCTCGGAGGAAACCCGGCTGTGCTGACCTCGCTGAGATCTGAGGAGGGTTTTCTTCTGGCTTAGGCAAAAGAAACTCCCCTTTCATGAAGATCCTCGTATTGCACCCCAGGGTCATTATTTGCATTGGCTTATTTCCTTTGCCCTTGCTCTAGCTGCCCTCTCTTTGTGCAAAAAGAGGTACAAAAAATGTAACAGGAACCACTGATGACTTCTTGTAAAATGAAGCTGTTCCTGGAAGTCACCCCTGGGGAAGGTCTCTGCAGGGCAGAAGGCCTGGTTGAGCCCTCGATGAGGAGGGAAGGGGTTGACCGCCTTCGTGCTGGCTTTGTATCGTGCGCTGATGATCTCCCTATGCTGCAGCCCAGCTAGGTTTCTTTACAACTTCTGCAGAGCTCGGTGGTGTGGAGCCCGGGTGAAATAAAAGCAGAGCCAAGTCCTCCTGGACTCCTCCTTGCTTGGCACGTACTCAAAGTACTGTCCACACACTGACCCATTCATTCTCCGAACGCTTCCCGAGAGGTGGGGAAGAAGAAATGAATTTAAAGGCCTCCTGTGTGAAAAGCACATTTTTGTCGTGCATGTAGTATGGATCTAGTTTGGGTTTCCATTCAGGGCACTGGGAGCCTCCCAGACCCACCTCCAGTGGGACGAAAGTTAAACCAGTCCTGAGTGCTATTGAGAAGCGAGTGCCTGGGTGCATGCACGGCATCAGGGCTGGTCCTGGGCTCCGATGAACGGCTGTCAGGCATGTTCTCCGTGGGGACAGAGAGAGCCAGGCCACCCATCCAGCCCCATTTACAGCTGTCTGAAGCACTTCAGTAGTGCATAACTTTTACAGAGGTGGCTGTCACCTACGGGAAGCTGCTTCAGGTACTGTGGTAACTTCAGTAACTTTTCCATAAGCGAAAGGATGGCTTGGGACGTTGGACACTGATGCTCAAATCTCTTTGCTCTGCCACAGCCTTCCCGCATGACCGGAGCCAAGTCACTTAACCTCTGCACCGCTCTACCCTGCCAGTACAATGGAGTCAGTGTTTCCCCTATTACTTTGTGTTTCTTTTATGCACAGATGGTCTCAGTTCCAGCTGTGGCTTCTAAGGGGCATCTAGTCATGTCAGACCAAGCCTTGGCTGGGATGATGTAGTTGGGGCCGGTCCCGCTTGGACTAGACGCGACCTCCTGAGCTCCCTTCCCACCCTCATTTTCCATGATCGCACCGGGAATTAACTCTTATTCCTTTTCCCTTTCTCCCCAGAGCTGTCTTACGACCTCGACATGGACGACGTTCCCTCGAATAAACAGCTTTTGAATCAGCAAAGCAAAGACGGTTCGGCAGTCCGCAGCCTGGGCTCCGGGAGTACCCTTGTGGGTCGTGTTCCCGTGGCTGCCGCTGTCGTGGTGGTCTTTCTCATACTGGCCCACTGACTTTCTATAGCGGCTACAACAGACTTTCCCAGAGATCGACTTCTTCCCTCGGGTGTTCTTTGCGCAGGAACAGCCGTCCTTGTGGAATATATGCACATTTCCAAAGATTAAGTTTGTTTTGTAAAATAAAAATCGGTATCTTGGCAAAAAGGGGTTGGTTCATGGTGAATTTTAGTTTTAGTGGGTTAACGGTGTGCTTTCTTCCTTTCTGTTTGTTTAAAAAAAAAAAGTTTAATATAAAAGGGTGAGACTCATTATGTTTTTATCAGTTTACGAAGGCTGAAATTTTCACTACGGTTACACAGACAGGCATATTTTGTCTTGACTTAATTTAAAATGCATGGCCTGATGTCCTGGCAGCATCGCATCCCCGCTCTCATCTGACTTTAATCCAGATCTCATCCGTAGTTTAAATGGGCTGAGTCTGACTCCAGGTTGGAAGCTCCATCCCAAGCCCATCAGGTGAAGGTGGGAGATGGAGGGAGAGCATGCACCCCCAAAATGGGAGAGGAAATGAGCCAAAAGGACTGAGTTTTGTGCATTCTCCTCTGCGAAGTTGATCTCTTGCCCCTGCAGTTGGTAAAAATGCTCCTGCTGATGGTCGGGAGAAACCTTGGACCCCCCCAAATACTTAGGACTAGATTGTGTCTTGGACTACACCCCAGCCCGAGGGGGAAGAGGGCGTGAGAGCCATCGGGGCTGGGGGCCAAGAGAAAGCAGTCCCAGCAGGCAGGTGGGAGATAAGTGGAGCTCCCGTGCAACAAAAGAAGACGACGTGTTTTGCAGACGAGGCTTGGTCCGCGGTCAGGACCCGAAGGACAAGTCTCCAGGATCACAGCAGCCCTGTCCTGCAGCAAGTTGTTTCCGGGCATGAACGCTGCTCGTGGCGAGTTGTGAAGAGCAAGCGCCCGTCTTCGAAGAGCAGTGACCGGCAGCAGGGCTTCCAGCTTCGGGCAGCACCAGGCAGCCCTGCCAGGCTCTTCCCACGAAGCCCAGCTCACCCAGTCGACTGCCTTTTCTTGGAGATCCCTCCCAGTTGCACAGAGTGTCCCATGATTTGCTCGGGGTCCCAGCAGACCTTCCTGTCCCATTGGAAATCTGCAAACACCGATCAAGGCAAGGGACAACGTCGATGTGCTGCGCCGGCCGGGCTGAAGGATGGGCTTCCCCCCTATTATAGCAACGAGGAAAAACAGAGGGTTAGCAGCAGACGCACAGCACTACGGGACACTCATTTGACTATTTTTGCATGTCATTTGTATTCAATTAGCTCTGTCAAATATGTGGGCAGCAAGGATTTTTGCGGGTGATACCTCTTGTTGCACCAGCTGCGTGGTTGGGATAGACTTGGACCAGCTTTTGAATGCGGGGCGCCCTTCAGATCCGAGGAAAAATACCTGCTTCTCTGTGAACGATGTATCGCAATAACCTCCCGCGTGTTTAAAGCAAAGTTTCACGTTGGAAACCAGGAGCCTGGCTGTGTTACGTTACATCCGCTCTCTGGAGACTTGGTTGTCCCTCCCGTATAACCCGCTCTTCATTTCAGCTCAAGTGACATCCCCCTCCGTCCTGGCTTTCTGCAGAGGGAGGTGTTTCATTAGTGAGCCAAACTGCACCCAATCCACAGCCCTTACTACCAGCCACCCTTGTGCTCTGCTGATTTGAGGACCATTGCTCAACTCAGTGTCACCCAAAGTGTCCTGTTGTTCTTGCTGCTCCTAAACCCCAGCTGCCAGTGATCATAGCTTTGAAAACCCCAAATGCTACGGAGCAACACTTTGCTGCCTGCTTTTCAAGCAGATTTATTTCTTAGCCCTCCTGCTTCTTCCCTCTCTTTCTGTTGCCTGCCCAGGAGCGAGCTGGTTTCTGCGCCGACGGCACGCACGGCCGCCTGCTTTTTTCCCCGTTGCTGTCTGCGAGTCTCCGCTCTGCTAATGGCAAATCGTCAACGTGATGCAATGATTCCCCTCTCTCTTTCATTTCTCCCCTAATCATTCCTCCCTGTCTTTCTGTTGGTGGACCCTGGCACCGGGAAATGCGGTCTGTTTGGAGGTTGCGTGTTGGGATCCTTCTGCTGTAAGATAACGCCGGGATCGGAGCGGGAGAGACGCTGGGCTGAAATGCTCTGTGTGCGGTTTCTTCCCGAGCCGAGTCACGAGACAGTCGGGTGCGTGACATCAGCTTTTCAATGTAATTTCTCTCTTACTAAGACAATATCTACTGTACTTTTCAATGTATTCTGTACCGCCTGGCTAGTGTTCCCAGTCTGCACCACTGCAATGTGATAGTAATACTTGTCGACAGAAAGTCTCCTCTGTAGCATGCTGATCCTGTTTTTTTTCCTTTGCACGGACATGCTGTTTAGCAAAGCCAACTTGTTTGAGACCTTGTTATGATAATAGATCACAGAAAACAGTCCTTGAATCCTGTATCTGCCAAGTTTCTAAAATAATACATTATAACCTGAGAAAGATTTTCGAATTCTGCCCGGTGTTGGGGTCTTTTGTGTGCAGGGGTGTGGGCACGCGCGTGTGCGTGATTTTTCGAGTGTTTCTTCTAGTTCTCACGGATTTTTCTTTGTTCAGAAACATCCCAGAATTGAACAGCCAAGCTTTATACCACTGTGAACCCCCCCGGTCCTTGGGTATATTGCAAATTCCTGATTGCTTGAGTGCCTTGTGGATGCACTGCCACCCCAGTGCTCCGTCAGGTGCATGCGCTGCTCCAGCGTGAGATGAAGTATGGAGCTGAACTCATTTGATCTCGTGGTTTGGGGTTTTTTTTTTTGATTTGTGGATGGTGGAAGGTGTCAAATTGGGCTTCGGGTCAGATAGCCCCATCCCGACCTTGCTAAGGTAACCTCAAGCACTCAATACAGGCTTTTTCCTGTTTCATCCTTGCTAAGATGTGCAAGAAAGAGGACATCCAGACTAAGATAAGTGGTGTGCCTTTAACTGGTGTTGGTGGAACCAGGTGAGCTAACTCAGGTTAAGGGTCTTAACTTGGGTTAGGAGCTCATGGGCAGCACCCTGCTCTCCCCAAATGCTGCTACGTCACATGCAATCTAGAGGCTAATTTCTCTATTATTTTAGACTCATAGAAAATTCAGGTTGGAAGAGACCTCAGGAGGTCACATCTATCCAACCCCCTGCTCCAAGCAGGACCAGCCCCAACTGCATCATCCCAGCCGAGGCTTTGTCTACCCCGGTCTTCAAAACCTCCAAGGATGGAGACTGCACCACCTCTCTGGGTAATTTATTTCAGTACTTTACTACCTTCCTTGGGGGAGAGTTTTTCCTAACATCTAACCCAAATTTTCCTTGCCTATTTTGCAGCAGAGACGAGCCCAGAGGTGTAGATCGTACTCATGGCCGGTGACAACCCTGCACAGCGCGGTGGCAGCCCAGTCCCGATTGCAGCATAACAGACGCTGCGATGAAGTTATTGGGCACCAACCCCGCACAGTGCAGGTGTGGCATGGAGACTTCCCATGTAGTTCAAAGGAGCTGGGTATACCCAGAAAAGCAGGGCAGCACGTTGATGTGGTTGTACCGCTTTGGTACCTGAGCTACCTCGTTCAGATGTAGTCAGTCATTCGGCCCTCATTAGGGTCACACCACCCTGGTCTGAATTGGTCGCTGATGGTAACATAGCTTGCAGGATAGCATGCAGACCCCTCGCCGGGCCTGGACTCTGCTCCACGAGGCATGCGAACTACACACACAAAGCCCCGCTCTGTGCCGCGGACCTCCTAGCTCTAGCAACCGCTGCATAATGCCTCTTGGTTTGCATTTGTTCTTTCTGACTGATGAACTCATGGATGAGCTCCCTCCCCAGTGTTGCATTTGCCCTCAGCTTCTCCGGAGTCTACTGGACGGAGGAGGAGGGTATTGTTCCCAGAACAGCCTCTCCATTCATCGAACGGCAGCTGTGTTATTACATCACACGCACAAATATGAAGGAGGATGACATCAACTATGCAAAATGGAGGATTCATAGAGTCCCAGCTGACTCGCAGTCAGCTTGCCTAGAAAGCCTGGCATGTCGGCTCCTGCCCATGCCCCTGGGGATTATTCATGCAACGCTCTTTAAAGTCATGGGGGGGGTCTATGACCAACACTGGCCCTGCATCCACCGCATCATAGATTCATGAACCAAATGAACAGAAAGAGCGTGTGTTTGTGTGCTGGGGGGAGAGGGGGTGTCTGGGATACAGCTGGGCCCTGCTGAAAGACCGATCATAACATTTTCGAAGTCACTTAGAAACCTTAATCCCATCAACAGAGAGTTAGGAGCCCGGAGCCCAGCTCTACAGCAGTATTTAGGTGTCCCACGGACACGGATGGGAGCGACGGGCTTGGGGAGACTCCGCAGAATTTAAGCTCCGGAGTTACGTGGGAGCTTCTGAAACATGTACCCTAAGTAATTTCCAGATGTGGGATGAGAATCGCAGTCCCCTTCCTTGTGGGATGAGGATGCCTGGCTCTGAAATCACCCTTTCTGGAGCTTTCCACGTGGTCTCATCCTGCCCCGCTTTCTGGCTGGGTCTCAGCCGAGGGGGTGTGCTGCGGGTCTGGCCTTCTGGTGCACATCTGGCTACCGAACCGGTGACCTAGCTGACAGATTTCTGAACCCACCCATCCCAACCCCTTCATCTATTTTAGCTGATTTGATTCTTCTTCTGCAGCCCCTGATGGACCGCGGCGGGCCGGGTTCTGAGCTCCTGGAGGAAAGGAGTAACGGCTCTACGGCCGGCGCCCGAGCTACGCTGATTTTCACCTCTGACGTCTGGTCCTGATCTGCATTTCACGTCAAGGGTCATAAATAACAGTCACCCCATGCAGAGAAATAATTGTCCTATGCAGGGCTGCAAACGTCCCTAAGCATGACGAAGGGTCCAGCACCTTTTCCATTCAGCGGCACTTGTGCGGCTCAGACATGCGCTTCACACGTGCGATGTATTTATCGTCTAGCCGTGCATCGAATGAGAATTTAAAACCCAAATGTTTTTTTGTGGGAAGGGGGGAATCCCAGTTCATTAATCAATTGGCTAATGGTTTAGTATAAGAAACTTTACAATCCAACTCATTTCCCAGCTGCCTGCTGCAACAGGACTCGCGGCGCTTCTTTTGGAGAAGCGAAATCTGAAA